GAGAGTGGTGGAGCACCTGGAATGGAACAGGAGTATAAACGCCAACCAGCACTGATTCATGGAAGGCAAATCCTGTGTCACAAACCTTCTGGAGTTTTGTGATAAAGTAACAGAAGTAAGACACGAGAGAGAGGGGTGGGTTGGTTGCATCTTCTTGGACTGCAAGCAGGTCTTTGACACAAGAGATTAGTGCAGAAGCTAGTGGATCAGGCGCATATAACAGGAAGGGCACTGCAATGGATCAGAGAATACCTGACAGGGAGGTAACAATGAGTCATGGTACGTGATGAGGTATCACAGTGGGCACCTGTGACGAGCGGGGTCCCACAGGGGTCGGTCCTAGGACCAGTGCTATTTTTGGTATATGTGAACGACATGATGGAAGGATTAGACTCAGAAGTGTCCCTGTTCGCAGATGATGTGAAGTTAATGAGGAGAATTAAATCAGATGAGGATCAGGCAGGACTTCAAAGAGACCTGGACAGACTGGACACCTGGTCCAGCAACTGGCTTCTCGAATTTAACCCCGCCAAATGCAAAGTCATGAAGATCGGGGAAGGGCACAGAAGACCGCTGACAGAGTATAGGCTAGGTGGCCAAAGACTGCAAACCTCGCTCAAAGAGAAAGATCTTGGGGTGAGTATAACACCGAGCATGTCTCCGGAAGCACACATCAACCAGATAACTGCTGCGTCATATGGGCGCCTGGCAAACCTGAGAACAGCGTTCCGATACCTTAGTAAGGAATTATTGAAGACACTGTACACCGTGTACGTCAGGCCCATACTGGAGTATGCAGCACCTGTTTGGAACCCGCACTTGATCAAGCACATCAAGAAATTAGAAAAAGTGCAAAGGTTTGCGACAAGGTTAGTTCCAGAGCTAAGGGAAATGTCCTATAAAGAAAGGATAAGGGAAATCGGCCTGACGACACTGGAGGAGAGGAGGGTCAGGGGAGACATGATAACGACATATAAAATACTGCGCGGAATAGACAAGGTGGACAAAGACAGGATGTTTCAGGGAGGGGACACAGAAACAAGAGGTCACAATTGGAAGTTGAAGACTCAGATGAGTCAAAGGGATGTTAGGAAGTATTTCTTCAGTCATAGAGTTGTCAGGCAGTGGAATAGCCTAGAAAGTGACGTAGTGGAGGTGGGAACCATACATAGTTTTAAGACGAGGTTTGATAAAGCTCATGGAGCAGGAAGAGAGAGGACCCAGTAGCAACCAGTGAAGAGGCGGGGGCCAGGAGCTAAGACTCGACCCCTGCAACCACAAATAGGTGAGTACAAATAGGGGAGTACAGACACGCATACGCACGCAAACACACACACACACACACCTACTTGCCACAAAACATACACCGAGGTGTGTGTGTGTGTCTCTCTCTCTTTCTCAGTGTATATACCTCATTCTACTTTAATCCTTACTTTAGGATTTAAGGTATTCTTGACTGGTAACATTACCGTCTTAATAACCCTTTGAATAGTCGATAGAATTTAAGCCCAGCTAATTACCCAATTGCTTGTGGAGTTCGATTAAATTTCCAGCTAGTTTGTTCACCGTTTTTCTAAACCACAAGTAATTAATGGTGCATCTTGGTGCACAATAATCACATTCTTCAGCACTGCCGTTCAGAGTACAAACTGCTTTATAGACAAATGCCGCGAACTCGCGTGAAACATTGCGTTTCCATGTAGCTCGTTTTTTCTTCTGAATCGTTGCAACTGTTCCAAACGAGGGATCAATTTCCGGCCGATTGCACCACAGTTCCACCAGGGAGTACTTTCTGACTCTCTGCAACACTGTTTTGCTAGGGAACGATTTCTGGTTCACTGCAACACTGCTCCCCTATAGGAGCACTTTCTGGCTCTCTACAACACTGCTCCACCATGGGAACACTTTCTGGCTCTGCAACACTGTTCTATCATAGGAACACTTTCTGGCTCTCTGCAACACTGCTCCATCATAGGAACACTTTCTGGCTCTGCAGCACTGCTCCACCATGGGAACACTTTCTGGCTCTGCAACACTCTTCTTTCATAGGAACACTTTTTTGGCTCTCTGCAACACTGCTCCACCATAGGAACACTTTTTAGCTCTCTGCAACACTGTTCCACCATAGGGAAAACTTTCTGGCTCTCTGCAACACTGCTCCATCATGGGAACACTTTCTAACTCGCTGTTCCACAAAGGAACGCTTGCACTTATTATTTATGAACCCACTTTTCTCCAAGTGGTCTATGACTCTCCTTCAGATTACCTTACATGGTATACAAGTAAAACTGGACTGTAGTTCAACACTTCCTGCATGTCTCCTTAAATATACATGCATGGGCTACATTTCGCTGTCTTTCAGATCTCCGGCAACTGTTTCGTGTCCATTGACTTATCGTGGATCTTAGCTAGCTTTTCAGACAGTGCATCTGCTCGCTCTCGTGGAATTCATGGGGACACATTTTCAAGTCCACATTGCCCTTGATGTATCCTGAATGGTATCTAGTACCTGTCGGTTGTATCTTTATCTTCGGACTGTCTGATACAGCGGCTGTATCCACTGAAAACATGTCTTACACATGGTTTGTACAACACCTTACAGATTTTGTCATTTCTCTTAAGCTCTTTCCCCCTCAACAGCATCAAGGATGCTGGTGAGGGGCCCTTGATCTTGGAAATTGGATCTGTGCTCCAGCTCCCTGGCTGTATGACCCTTGTGGATTTAGCGCTTAGTTATTACCTGGAGAGTTTACCTGGAGAGAGTTTCGGGGGTCAATGCCCCCGCGGCCCGGTCTGTGACCGGGTTCCTTTAATTGAGCCTGAATGCTTTCCATCCCCTCCCCTACCCACAGGCGCTGTATAATCCCTACGGCTTTAGCGCTCCTTCATTTTTTACTCCTCTCAGTATCTTTAGTTGAACCATAACCTCTTCGTCTGGTTTGAAGTTCTGCTCCGCCACCCCCAGGCACTTTCCAGCTAGGTATTCTATTACGCCATTCATTGAATTTCATTCCCTTTTCCCAGTGCACTGCATTCAGTTGTTAGTCGCGTCGCGTGAGTGGCTAGTTTATTGTGCACCAGCAGCTCATGCTGTGAGTGCTAGCACAAAAAAAAAACCACGATTACAGAGGTCACAATGGGTCTTTATCAGACCCCACTAGGCATAGTTACATCACGAAAAACCATATTAGTCAATTTATATACTGCAGTTTCTTTATATAACTAATGAACACAATACATTATGGAGTTACAATCTCAAAAATCGTTTATCTTAATACCATTAAAAACATTAGCCATTATTGGCTGCAGTCTCTTAAAAAAAAACAATTCATTCGTCTAGAAGATATACTAGTGGATATACTCTCAAGATTTCAGATATCTTATTATTAACAATAAAATATTTTGCTATATCTTGAGGAGTTTGTATGGAGGTATCTCTGAAAGGCTGGATGTTTGTACATTCAAAGACCTACTGTTCCAATGTAATGTCCCTGTCTCTGTCCATACACTTCGGATATGATATCATTGGCATCTCTATTCAAACCGTACTGCCAGAGATACTTATAGCCTAGCCTCAGTCAAGCAGTAACATCTTGTAATCTGCTGGCCTTGCTATTTTCTCCATTTGATACGGTATGTTTAACTTGACACATCTCATTATGATGGTCATTTAATCTGCATGTTCCTATTTGTACTGTTCAACTTTCTTCAGATTCCTTTGCTAGTGCCTTTCTGACAATTTTTTTTTTTAAATTTTGCATTACATTTAGGATTTCTTTTATCTCTTCAGATTTCCCTCTTCTGAATTCAGGTTCCTTGCGCCCTCCACCTCTGTTCTTCTCCTCTCAATATTTAGGTCCAAAAGAAATTCGAAAATCAGTACTGTATGGTAGCTAGCGACCAGGAGACTCTTCGTATTCTACTTCGTCTGTCACATGTATTTTTGTTAAATGCCAAATCCAGCCTTGCTTTCTCATCTCTCTCTCTCTCTCTCTTTTGTTGTGTCCTTAACATGCTGACACAAAAAGTTTTCCCCGACCACATCCATCATCTTGGTTTCCACACCTCCAGCCCCCAAGTCGGTCCCAGTTCTCCCAGTTTAACTCATTCTGGTTCAGATCTCCCATGATTATTAACACTGCTTTACCCCGGTTAGCTTTCCTTGTTGCTTTAGCTATGATGTCAACTATTGTCTCCAAAAACCTGTCTTGGCTTCCTACTGTTAGGTGATGGGTTGTAGATCACTGTTACTACTTTGGATCCCCCAATCCTGATTGTGTCCACTGTGTTGTCATTTGACTCCTCATTGTTTATCCTGTGTGTGTCTTAGTTACCATTTGTCAAAGGTACATGTCACTAAGACACTTGTCGTGTGTGTGTGTGTGTGTGTGTGAGAGAGAGAGAGAGAGAGAGAGTGTGTATATCTGTTTCAGATATAATGATCATGGAAAAATAAATGTAAAATATCACCGTCGCTACACTTATGTGTTTCTTGTGTACTAGTGTGGCTCTCACCGTCGCTACATCTGGCAGTACACATTTCTGTTGGCTGCCTCTGGATTTCCTGGAACTAGATGTGCAAAATCACTCGTGTTGGTATCGTTCATTTCATTCCACGTTCCGTTACTAGACAAAGATTTCTTCGAGTTGTGTGAATGAAAGTTTTATTAGGCACAGATTTACTATAGCGACGAGAATGGACGAGCAGGTGCATGAAACACTATCTGCGAGGCTTTCACGAAGCCGAAGTCGAGTCTATTTAAGGGTTGCGAATACGGTGTTCGCGGATAAACAAACTGTTGCTGGAGTATTGATGCCAGGTGATGATTACCCTCATTTTAAACACCTAAATATGGGCTTATCTTTTAAAAATGTTGTCGATACTGCAAGGCATAAGGTAATATTTTAGGAAGAGAATCCGATGTGGCAGAAAATATGCGATGGCATTCTATGTGGAACTAGTGGAAACGAAAATATAATCTGGCGGTTTGTGAGGTTAGGCAACTGGTAGCGGGCGGTGGCGGCGGCGGTGACGGCGGCGGCGGGGACTTGACGAACCGGTCAAAAGGGCAAGGTGAGGGGAACTCCCTCTCGTTACCTCAGAAAGAACAACTTATTCACGTTCATCTTCAGCTTTCCTGTTTATTATCTTAAATCCTCAGCTGCTCCAACGCTGTGAGATAAACTAGACAGTTACTAGGCCAGAACGACGCCAGTTCGTCGAGTGTGAGGTGAGGTAAGATGAGTGCAGACGCCAGGCTCGCCAGCCTCCGACGTACACAACGTGCTGACGCTGCTAGGTGGGAGGCTGGAGTGAACCTAATGGCACCAGCATTGTGCAAAGGGAAGGGTGAAAGTGGGTGCTTCTAATGCCAAAATCAATGTGCCTGGGGATGAGACGAGAAGTGCCCTTAGTAGCACCAACATTGTGCAAGAGGAAGTGGTGAGGAGTGTCTCTTACGTCGTAACAAAAAACTGAGATTGGGGAAGGGGCTCATTGGGAGGAAATTTGGGTTAACATCACATTGCTGATGTATCCAAGTCTGACAAAAATTCAGGGGGGGGGAGAGACTATTTAGTTCCAAACATCAGGAAAGGGAAGCAACGGGAGTAGTTAGAAGGAAAGAGTGTGTCCCTAACACCGTAAATACATTGACTGGAAAGTAGGAGGGGAAGCGGGTTCCTCTAGAGTCTAGAGTCATGTCCTGTGCTAGGGGAAGTAGGCTTCTTCATCCTTACAATGGGGAAAGAGGCGGACAGCTAAGAAAGGAAAGGGGTTCCTCTATCGTCCTACACTGAGGTAGGGGAAGGGGGCGTGCTCATCGTCCTACACTGAGGTAGGGGAAGGGAGCGTGCTCATCGTCCTACACTGAGGTAGGGGAAGGGGGCGTGCTCATCGTCCTACACTGAGGTAGGGGAAGGGGGCGTGCCCATCGTCCTACTCTGAGGTAGGGGAAGGGGGCGTGCTCATCGTCCTACACTGAGGTAGGGGAAGGGGGCGTGCTCATCGTCATCAACTCAGGTAAGGGGAAGGGGCGGACAAGTATGAAGGGAAGGGGGGAATGGGGTGCTCCTAACGTCACACAAACTTCCTCAGCATATTGATTTTCTATCGGCGTTTGCTGCCATTCCACAGTGGCCTGCCTCTCCCTCATCCTCTCTCCCTCATCCTCTCTCCTTCATCCCCTCTTCCTCATCCCCACTCCTCCACAATACGCCCAAACAGACTCCCCCCTCCACTCCCTCTCCCATTCTTCCTCTCTCCATCTACCTACCTGAGAGATCTCTCTCCCGTTCCTCTCCCCCACTCACACTCCTCTGCCTCTCTCCCTTTCTACCTGTCTGACAAACTACGCACTTCCCACACGCCGCCCTGGACCTGTGGACATACCTTCTTGCAGTCTGCTGTAGTTTGCTCCTTTTGGCGACGTTATAATAATGAAAATAAGTCACAGTGTTTGATTTTATTGTGTTATCTTAGGTCACCTCATCATCAAGTATCGTTGTTCCATGAGTATAACATCTGTACACCGTCACAACCATTGTATACAATGGTACTATTGTTTGTTAAATATTTGTTGATTTAACTGAAGATTATTATTACTATTATTATATTAATTATTATTATTATATTTATTTTCATTATTATAATTATTATGAAAATAATTTTATTATTATTATTATTATTATTATTATTATTATTATTATTATTATTATTATTATTATTATTATTATTATTATCGTTGTTATTAATGTTTCTAGTTGATAACAAAATAATCCTGAGTTGCCTAAGCTTATTATGTTTCTCTTATAAGTTATAAATGTGAAAAAAAGTTACTGGGGTGGTTGTGGAGGACTCATGCCCCTGTACCCGCCTTGTCAGGAGGTGGAAGTGGGGGACTCACACCCCGGCACATGCATAATGAGGAAGCAAGTGTGGGGGAGATAGACCCCAACACCAGACTTGTCAGGAAACGACAGTGGGGGTATTCACAACCCCCCATCCCCACACCCACTTTGTCAGGAGGCAGGTGGTGGGGGAGACAGATCTACACACCCGGCTTATCAGGAGATGGGGAATGGAGGACTAGCAACCCCAGGATACACCTTGTCAGGAGGTGGGTATGAGAGAGATGCACCCACGTTACCAGGAGGCAGGTGTGTGAGACTAATATCCTTACACCTGCATTGTCAGGAGGCAGGTGTATGAGACTACCATCCCTACATCTGTATTGTCAGGAGGCAGGTGTGGGGGAGATAGACCCCCACACCAGACTTGTCAGGAAACGAAAGTGGGACATTCACAACCCCCCTCCCCACACTCACCCTATCAGGAGGCAGGTGGTGGGGGACTCACACCTACCTTGTCAGGAGGCAGGTGTGGGGGACTCACACCTTTACACTTACCTTGTCAGGAGGCAGGTGTGGGGGACTCACACCCCTACACCTACCTTGTCAGGAAGCAGGTGTAGTGACTCACACCCTTACACCTACCTTGTCAGGAGGCAGGTGTGTGGGGACTCACATCTCTACACCTGCCTTGTCAGGAGGCAGGTGTGGGGGGCTCACACTTCAGTACCCACCTGGTGAGGAAGCAGGTGGATGTATCTTAATTTTCGGTTTTATGGTATAACAGGATCAATTTCAACTGGGCTGAATTAGTGTAGCAAAAATTTATCAGCTTGGGTTGAAACATTAGTGTTCCTGAATCATTATAAAGAGTGATGTGTCACTGTACATGGTGAAAATAAAAAAAATCTCATTTCCCAAGGGGCGCCGCCCCCATTTTAAAATATTTAAACGCCATATAGTCTCAAATCTGCTCCTGGGTATAAGGAAGCCTGGGATAAAATTTGATTGTATTGGCTTTCATGGACTCTGCGTTAACGAAAAGCACACACACAAACCAAGCAAACAAAAAGAATACAAACAAACAAACAATTAAAGAGACAAACTTAATAACTATATTATTATTATTGCTATTATTATTATTGTTGCTGCTATTACTACTACAACTATTACTACGGCTACGACTACAACACTACTGCTACTACAACTACTATTATTACAACTACTACTACTACTACTACGACATAGACTACTACTACTACTACTACAACCACTTAATTATTATTGCAATATTGCTGGCACACACCCGAAGGTGCTTAATCTGGTAAGAGGAAGCAAAAAAAACACAGCAACTGTTTCGCCTCAGTGTCTCTCAGTACACACACACACATACAAACAAACACACACACACAAACAAACACACACACAAACACACTGGGTACTGTCATTATATCTTAACCTGTTACAGAGTGAATGGTGTTAGAATATGAACCCAGGGCAGCACCTGACAGTCTCTCAGCCACCTGACATAAGAACAAAAGAATATAAGAAAGAAGGAACACTGCAACAGGCCTACTGGCTTATGCGGATGAAGACCACAGGTAGATCATAGAACTTGTCTGTGTGGAACTAACTGGAAAAGAAAATAAATTAAGGAAGAGTAAAAATGGGGAGCAGAGGGAAGAGAATGCAGGTGTCAATACCATGATATGATAATAGCTGGTCTGGAGAGCAAATTGGTTAATGAGTGGAACACAGAGTTCAATATTTTCTGGGATAATACTGTGGAAATTTGAAAGAAAAAAAGATGGAAAGAATAGCATGGAACAGGAGAAAAGGGCACTAATTGATCAAAGACATAAAAAAGAACGTAAGAAAAACTGGAGACTATGTAGAAAATGAGGCAGGGGCAAGGAAAGGAGGTAATAATGAAGAAAAAAAGCACAAGCAAAGGAATCAGGAAGATACAAAGGAGAATATTCATTAATATAGATACTCTCAGGAGATGAAGAGGTACAGGAGACGTTAAGAGAGTTAGCGAGGACACTAGTGACAACAGATAAGGCAATCTAGAGGGAAAGATTATGCGAGGAAGAAAGAGGGAAGTCGCTGATGATCGATGGATTTCAGGAGACTGATGGCAGGAAGGAAGATATGGGGAAGGAGGAGGAACATAAAATTATATCGATCACCTAGTGTATAGAAGGAGAATAAGAACTAGAGAAGATAAAAAGCTCTCAGAGGACTGGAACGAACCTCCCAGGGCAAGCAGCACCCAGTCATACTAACCTTGTGATCACAGTTTGCTTGAACTAGGATTTTGGAAACAGAAAACCCCTCACGGAAGGTTCCTTGATGTTGGTGAGGGGCTCTTGATTTAGGGAATTGGATCTGTGCTCCAGTTCCCCGAATTAAGCCTGAATGCCTTCCACATCCCCCCCAGGCGCTGTATAATCCTCCGGGTTTAGCGCTTCCCCCTTGATTATAATAATAATAATAATGGAAACAGAAAAGTTTTTGAAGAATACAGGATATCACGGTATTGAAATAGAGAAGGAATATTTGATGGAGAGCATAAGAAGTCCTCAGAAACTGGAAAGTGAGAGAGAACATGTAGCAAAGTGAATGAACACTGGGGTTCAAGAAATTTCTCAAGGCTCACCCACTACTCATCTCATAGCAGGGTCAGTTCAAGACGATCTACAACCCATAATCAAATAGTAGGAAACTATGGCAGAAACATGAAGACAGCAAAGCAATGACTGACAGTATAATATAAACAGCAAGAATAACCTATGTGGCAAAAGCAAAGCTAATAATAAAAAAAAAATAGATTTTGAGAATTGGGACCTATGTAGAGGGCCTGAAACAAGAAGAGCTGGGATGGTGGAGGTGGTGATGGAAAATTTTATGTGTCAGCATGTCAAGAACTCAACAAGAGAGAGAGAGAAGGAGAGAGAGTGAGGAGGGGATGAGGCAACAAGAATGACTCTGGTATTTACCATCAATTTACTTGATATAATAGCTTTCATGATGAATAAGACATATGTGCAACACTTAAGAATATTTCTTATACCAATGCTTACAAACACACACACGCGCGCGCGTGTGTGGAATAGATAAAATGGACAGAGACAGGATGTTCCAGAGATGGGACACAGAAACAAGGGGTCACAACTGGAAGTTGAAGACTCAGGCGAATCGAAGGGATGTTAGGAAGTACTG